ACAAACCCAACAAATATTTTCACCCCAACAAATCAAAAAATACCCAAAAACAATAAATGGGTGGTAAAAATCGATGTAAAATACCTCAGAAAAATAGAAAAAGACTGGAGCTTTTCTCTTTGTCAGTGAAGCGGAAGGAACCTCAAAGGTGTGAAATTTTTTGTTTTTGATGTTTATTATTTCCTAGACTGCATCGAAGATGAAGACATACATTGTGATTTGTTGTGTTTGTGTTCGAGTGGTCGCCGAAATTCGCGGTTTTTCGGAAGATTTTTGGAAATTGCAGAAATCACTGCATGCCACGTCACCGGGAAGTAGGATGCTTTCCATGGATAAATTTTTTATTGGATAGGAAACCAAGTAGTACTTCAGTTTTAATAAAAATAATAGAAAATTTTTATTTTTTAAGTTATTAACTTTTTAGCATATATATCTCATCATTTATATAATGACATATGATGTATCATCCAGTGTATCGATCACACTGAAAAATCTCTCATTTCCATGTTTCCTACTCTGCCCTCACCTCTTTACATTCGGTTCAGGTGTGACGAGACACATGATACAGGCGGGAGGAACCAATGATTAACTACCATGTCACGAAATTCAACGACTCTGATTTTGTCCATCAATATAAATCGAATATTATTTTTTTTAGAAAAACCTTGAGCTTTTCTTTTTGTACCAAAGGCTTATTCTACTAATCTGAAATAGACTTTTTGGTCTAAAGTACTTTAAGGTTTTTGGTTTTGTCACTAGATTTTTACTCGATGATTACTTTTATTTTTTTTTCTTTTAAAAGAATACTAGCTAGTGGCTTCGACGTGTTACCATCGGTTGCGAGAAAACTCACATAAACATTTCATTATCTTTATGATCATCATCGTATGATTCATCAGCCAACTCTTAATAGACTTGGAAAGCTTTGTCGATACGCTACTCCTAACCAAGTCAAGCTAATCTTTTACCCAATCGAACCATGAATGAAAAAAAAAAAAAAACATAAGATTGTAAATTGATATTCAAAAAGAAATTGCACACCCCTATTTTTACTGATTTTTATTACTTTTTATTGGCTTATTATTTTTGTAAATTGTTAATTTAAGATTGGGAGGGGTTATCATAGTGTCCGTGGTGTGTGAAACATGTGATTCCTGCTCTGTTTGATGAGGTAGATAGAAGTACAATGAGAGTAAGAATTTAATATGCCACGTCGGATAGAGATAAAACTGCAAGGGTTAAAGTGACGTACAGGAAAAGTCCCTGGGTGTTCGGAAGAATAATTCTCTTTTTCTTCCATTCTTTCTCATTCTTTTTTATATTCATTAAATAATTACGATTAAATCACGTTAATTTTTTATATTAATTTTTATACAAAGACAATAAGATAAAAAGAAGAGTGAAATGAAAGAGAGAAGGAGATGCGAAAAGAAAATGAAAGAATCCTACTCCTCAAAAAAGTAATCCTCTGTGTCAGATTCAACGCTTGATTAGCTTGCAATCGTTCTTCATCGGACGACCAAAACAATTGATCAAAAATAAAAGACGACCAAAACTAGTTTTCTACCAAATACATTTGTTTTGCAGAAACAGACAACCTAGTGGCTGTAGTTTAGTGGTAAGAATTCCACGTTGTGGCCGTGGAGACCTGGGCTCGAATCCCAGCAGCCACACTCTAGTTTTAAGTTTTTATTTTACCAATATTTATGGTTTCTCAAAAGGAGTAAAATTCTCTCTTCTATTTTCCCTTCCTTTTTCTCTCATCCTCTTTGAACGATCACGGTTAAGCCACGTTAATATCTTATATTAATTTTATATCGAAAGATAAAGACAAAATAGATAATGTGAGAGGAGGAGAGAGAATCCTAGTCATTCTTGAAAACCATATGAGAGAAGGGTATTTCTATTCACACACACGTTTTTTATCTCTTTCACACTTTTGTTAATTTTTACTCATTGATCTTTTTCAATTTAGTTGATCCGACAAACGAGAATTAAGAAGGGAATTTTAACGAAAAGCACCCGGTACTGTTCACTTTAACGAAAAACCACATTTTTACACTAAAAAGTCAATCATGGTACTATTCACTTTACCCTTTATCTTATCCTTATCATTAAAACTCAAAGTTTTCAAGCCCTTTTCATTAGTTTTCCTAATTAAGAATGGTGTGTGAAAAGTAAAAATCCATCAAGATGTCAAACGGTAACAGACATGAAAAAGAAGTTTAAGCTGACATGGTCGTTAAATTTTTCTAGGTACCCGGTACACCAAACAGCTGGTGTTCCCTACAAATGAACACCTGACACTTGGCCTGGGTTCCATCTTTTTGACACGTTGCCATTTGAGTTATCATCTTCCTATTTAATTCGTAAATTTTCTGGAAAATAAATTCAAATAAAAACAAAAAAAAAGTTAATTAAAAAAATTGAACCCATATTTTCTCTTGGAGTCTTCGACTTCCGGCCCTACCCCAACCTATCTCTGCCTTCCCATCAATCCTTTCTCTTTCTATCTCCTTCTCCCTCCCTTACATCGGAGAATGACACTATAAACTGGTGTCGACCACCCATGGGCTTTGATCAGAGTCAACGATAGTAGATTTGAAAGTTGGAGTTGTCATCGATCATCCTTGAGCTCCATGACGAGGTATGAATGGAAGAAGAGAAAGGGAAGAGTACGAGGGAGGGAATTAATGGGGTGTCACCGGTGAAATTATCACTATCGATGGAGGTGGGTCGTTGTCGAAAGTTCATGGTGGTGCATAGTGGGTGGTTGCTGTGAGTTATTGGCAGGGATGAATGATATTTCCGAGTTTCTGATTCACTTTTGGGCATTGTGATCGACAAATTGGGTTTAGTTTTTGTTTAATTGATTTTCTTAAAAACTAAATCAGACAGATTCTTTAATGGGAAACATGGCATCTTCCGATTGGATGGGTACACCGACTGTTCATGGTGATGTGGGTTCTTGTCACCCCAAAAAGTTTCTCGACATGGACAAAGAGATGTTAAATTTGAAGTTGCCTTCAAATTTGATTTTTGCTATTTTCAAATACATTCCACTTACCTTACCTTAAATGTTAGTATATGTAAGTATTATTTTATTATTTTTAAACCAACACCAACTCAATTATTATTATTTTTGTTTAAAAAAACATAAATGAAGCAATAAATCGTGGCATACCGAGTGAAAGAAAAATATTGACAATATGTCAAATTACCAAGTCAGCCATCAAATTTAAATTTAATGTTTTGATTTTCACGTCTCTTTTGGAGATACTCTTATGTCAAGGAGAACTTATTTTCTTTTCATTAATTAAAACATTTCATATAATTATGAAAGTTTCAATATAGTTCCTTATCAATGCCATTAATCAAAATAAATCCTTCTAGACAATAACTCACAAATGAATCTTTCAAGGGATTATGCAAGTTTCCGTACCTGATACCTATCGAATTAATTTCAGTACAAAAGAAGGTGGCTTCAATTGTATCTAACATGGGTGAAAAAAAAAATTGTATCTAACATTCAGTAATACATGTTTACTGTTTGATTTCATTTTCATAACTTTTTGGATCTTTGTTACTAATATTTTTCTTTCTTTTAAGGATGATAACTGGTGGCAAACCACGATCATCCATTACTATCAAGCAGAAAGGCTAAGGAGAATTTCATCATGTCTCTGACCACAATCAAGCCGACTCACTAGTTCAGAGCATCGAACTTGAAACCTCTCACATTATTTTTGTTTATTGGAGAGTAGCAGAGTGCGCCATTACCACTAGACCACTTATAGTGGTTTTTGTTATTAATATTACATACAACTTAATACTAGGCATTGACGAAGAACAGTTACAAAATTTAACCATAAACAACATTCAAACTTCAATAAAAGAAAGAAAACCGTAGAAACATTTTTCAACGGCCTACATTGTAGAAAATTGACTTATTTTGCTGTTTCGGGTCGGAACGAAATGGCGAATAAAAGGCGGTTCTTCTTGCTCCACTTCACTATCGTTTCTTTTCGTTTTGACATTGATCACCTCCTCGCTGCTGCTTCTGGCGTTTTCGCATTCGATCTTCGCCGTTGAAGGTACCGTCTATCTTTCTCTCCAATGCAGATCATAGATGTAACGTTTCTGACGGTTTCCGCTTTTTGGATCGTAATTATTTTCGAGCATGTATTCTGCAATCGCGATTCGTCTGTGTTTGTCGGTGTAAAAACCCTAGACGTTTGGTGTTCCTTTTTGGGGCTTTTAGATCTAGGTCCCAAAATACATATGATTTTTAGGAGTGAGTTAAGTTATCTAATTACATGTTTTTATTTATTTTATACTCATTTTATATTTTTTTTAAATATTAAAAATCAATTAAAATCTTCTAATATTATGCATTTTTCAACTCCAAAAAATCTAATTAATATCTTATAAAAAAAAACTAATATACTAACATAAATTATTCACAAAACGTTCTACCTTAATTCAAGTAACAAATATATGAATGTATATTACACTTGTAAGCGAGATATGAAACCTAATTAAAAGGTAGGGAAAAAACATAATATACCTACAAGTAAGATACATTAATCTGTGACACGTTGATTATAAAAAAGAATCTGTCATATAGATACATAAAATTAATTAACTTGTGATATAGGTTGATTATAAAAATTAAAAATAAAATCTATAAATGGGGTTTAAAGCAGGAGGTAGAACAAGAAATAACAAAAATAAATAAATAAAAAGAAATAATCAAAGAAATAATTAGGAAGAAATTTGATTTTTATGATAAATCTCATCATTGAATAGATAATTATTGATAATAAAATAATTAAATTTAAAGAATTTGACTTATTTTTATAAATTGGACTATTCCTACTATTGGTTAAAAAAATTGAACTTATATCAAGTTTTTCCTTATTTTTTTAATCCCATCTTTTTCTGCTTGAGAATTGTATTTGTAGAAAAACCGTTTGCTTTGAGCTGAATAAATACGTGATGATCGCATAGCGGAGCGGATATTGCATTAGACTCACGATCTAAAGGTCGTGGGTTCGAATCCCACTGCGATAGTTCACCCCTTATGCATTTCCCAATTTCTGTTTTTTTTTCTTTCTTTTCTCCCTCTCTGTGAAGGGTTTTGGATACTGGGTAGAAAAATTGGACAAAGACATTGCTAATTACTGCTGACAAGTGACATAACTCTCTGTGATTCGTATACTTTCGAGGATCGGAGATTACGGTAGTGCCTATATTTTAAGGAAATGGAAGATAAAATGTTTGATATGAGATTCTAGTTGCCAGTGCCACCAAATTATTCTGGATATGGATAATGTCACATTGAAAATATGCTTTAGCTCCATCAACAACGATGCCACAGCAGTAAGGTATCCGGAGACAGCGGTACTCTGGACGTGTTGATGCTCGTTAAAGAGAAAAGATCGCGTGAATGTCAACCGAGGATGGGCGGGGTTTCGTGGATCTTACGTGCCATTTCTAAGCTGGACACGGAGGGGTTTTGTGGTCGGGATCAGTTACGACTGTAGGAATCCACTCTGCATGGAATTATTCAAACGTGTAACATATACAAGGATAATACAGGAGAGGATATGATTGGATTTATTCTCGAAAAAGAAACCCGATAGAGGAATGTATTCCCGGTGATCGAAGATGCTTCTGCTCGTCGTGGTCTGAGGTTTCTGCGAAGCAAAGTCCCCTTCGTACCCTATCAAGGTTTGTATATCTTTGTGTAAATGGGCGTTAGTAGATTCATATGAATCGTATCCATAGTCCATACACACACGGTTAACACGTTCCTAACCTTGTGTTTGTAGTTCTGGCGGTGTACATGTCACCAAAGCATCGGAGTTTATGTTTTTCCGGTTGACTATACTGTATTTTTGGCGGTCATGATTTGTTGTGGAATTCGTGGAAATTCTCTGTTTGTTACAGCGCTATTAGACGGCGTTTGCGTGCAATATCTGTAGATTATTGGTGTATTTGTGTGCAATAGATTGTGCTGTAAAGCGTGAAAATGTGCATTGAAGGAATAATACGACACTTTGTGGTGTGAGAGACTAATTCATTCGATTCTATTTGTTTTCCGACAGATGATTGACGATGAAGGCCTGGAGATTTATGCCAACTTACTTGGCATGTTCATATTTTTTCTACTCATTGTTTATCATTACGTGACGGCCAACCCGAACTACGAGGGCAACTGAATACCTGAGTTGTGTGTGTGTGTTTATGGAGAGGCCGTATGGCACCCCCAGAAGAAAACATAGATGATACAATGTAGCATTTCAATTTTGTTAGTATACCTAAGGCCTTCAATTTGGTACATTTTGGTGGTTGCAATGGTTGAGTTCAAGTGAGTTTTGTAGAGTCTACCTCTCGTGGTAGGACTTTTAAGACACAATATGTTAAATTGTTGACTAATTTTAATTGATTTAGTCCGGACCGAGTCATCAAACATGCATGTGGTTAGCCCGACGTAGTATCTGCACGTTGTAAGTTGTTAATGCAAAGAACAGTAAGAACTTGTGTAGCGAAATACATCAATGACTCGTAGTCACCCAAACAAAGATTCTTGTGCAGTGAAATTCGTGTCATGCCACTCGTTGCCCTTTTGCGTGTGCTACGAGAGCTTCTTTTACTCCAGCATTTCTCCACTAAGACGTTCACAACTATTGGTTGGCCATAAAAATTAGTCTTTTGACGATGTTTTGTAGAAATTCGTAAAACCGATCAAATATTTTGATAAGTTCCAACATAACTTGTAACTATAGCTTTGCACATTGAAAGAATGCTAAGCAGAAATTAAGTAGTAGTTAGCAAAGCATAAAGAATTCATGATTCTCCTATACACAATACGTCGTCGTCACGCAAACAAACACACACACACAATGAAAAATAAGCTACATCCGAAGGGCCCACACCTCTTATCTCCATCACATCATCAGTCAATCCCGTCTGAAAATCAGAGTACGGCCGCACAGTAAAACCTCAGCACCTCCACCTACCAAATATTCCCTCCGTTTCTTCTCTCTGTCTCTGTCTCTGTCTAAAGATGAAAACGAGATCCCTTGATGATGAAGCAGGCGATCCGAAAGCCCGAGAGGAGAGATGAGAAGCCCAGGAACAGGAACCCCACAAAGCCCAAAGCGATTGCGATGTCCACCTGTATGCAGAACGCGTTCCACGCCTTACACGTGTCCATCCCTTTTAAAACCCTCGCCAACGCCGTTCCCGCCGAGTCTGCAGACAGCAACAGGTACGCGAACGCCTACACGATCGCGCCTCTCTCGTTAATCCTTTTTCTTTAATTTACACTAATTAATTAATTTTAAGCTTAACCGTATTTTTAAAAGTTAATTAAAATAGTTAGAGAGAGAGAGGGGGGGAAGAGTGAGAAAATGGAGGACCTGGTCGTGGCCGAAGTCGAACCAGAGCTGGACGACCTCGGCGAAGAGAGTGGATTCTCTGGAAATTTCCCAGACGGAAGCCACCATTTCGAAGAGAGAGTAGAGCGCCACTATTGCATTCGCTCCCACTACGAATCTGTTCTTTCCAATTTGACCCAATCAGTTTCTCTGGTGGAAAATATCTGGCTGTTTGGTTACTCAGAAAGTGCAGGAAAATCGAACCAAAAACAAATTCCAATTGTTTGCTTGTTTTTTATTTTTTGGTCAAACAATTGTTTCCTTGATTTAGAGGACGAATTAAAGTTAAAAGTTTCAACTTTGAAGGAAATTTCGAAAATTAAGCCGAATAGCGCCATAATTTTAAAAAAAATTCAAACTTTTTTCGTAATTTCGAACTCCACTGCATTTTCTCAGCGACCAAACAAACAGAGCGAAATTTAGGAAGAAAATTGGAGGTAAGAGTGAAATTGGTACCTGAAGGCGTCGAAGTGGTACCAGCGGGGGGAGTTGGCGGCGGCACGAGAGGTGGAGAGCATGAAGACGAAGGAAGCGAGGGAGGAGCTGAAGGAGGCGAATCGGAAGACGAGGATGAGGTAGTTGAAGCGCCTCAGCTTCCGGAGCGAGACGGTGGAGTGGAAGGGATTGTCGCCGCCGTTGCGGTGAGGCTGAGGAGAGCGCATGGCGGCTGTGTTGGGGTTGATTTGCCGGGTTGCTGGTGCTGCTGGAGGAGGAGAGTGGGAGGTTTTTGAGAGGGCGAAATCATGAGGGGAAGAAGTTGGTGGTGGTGAGGAGAGGAGTCACGGGTGGAGAAAGGCTATGAGTGAAAAGAGAGGATAAAAAATGAGTGGGAAAGTTTGTGAGAGAGAGAGAGAGAGAGAAAGCTAAGAAAAGCTAAAAAGGATGTGTTTGAGAGAGAGAGAGAGGGAGAGAGAGAGAGAGAGAGAGAGGAGGAGAGAGAGAGAGAGAGGAGGAGAGAGAGAGGAGCAGGGAGACATGAGAGACAGGAAGCAGAAGGAGGAAGGAGGGAGGCAGGAAGAGTGTGTGGGTGGGGTAGTGGTGTAATGTGGGGGGCTTTCAAGCTTTGCTTTTACTTTCCCTCTATTCTTTGTTTCCTCTTTTCTCTCCTTTTTGGTTTTACTTTTCTTCATAACTATCCTTTTGGTTTTGGGGTCTCCATCCATACTTAATAATATAGATACTTTGTTACGGGAATGTCTCGTGTCAGTAAAATAAAGATATGTGAGTTTTTTTTTATACACGTCTTTATTTATTTAAAATGAGATACATCATGCTGTGTAACAGGGTACATATAGAGTAGGATTTACCTACTATCCTCATAAATCGTTGTGTTTAGTATCTAAAGTCAATTACACGAGGCTTGTTTGAGGTTGTTTTTGTAAGAAACATTTTTACTCAAGGCACTTAGAAAAACATTCGAATTTGTTTATTCAAGAAGCACTTGGAAAATGTAGTCAGAAAGTAGTTTTTGAATGTCAGAAACTCATTTAACCATGCAAAAAGATTAGAATGGATGACAATGCGTAATTAAATTGAGATCATATCACAACCTATCGCCTCTAAAGGAGATTTTTTTTTTTCATCGCGAGATATGAGTCGTTAGTCGATTTTTACATTAATTCAGAGAATATAATCTTCCCAGCCTGCTGCAACCAATATTTTTACAGTTTCACGTACAAATATTTTCAAATCAAACCAATTCCAATCCTTCCTTCATCATTGTGGCATGCAATTGCAACCAGAAAACCTAAAGACATCCATGGAAATCCCGTGACCATCTTTAAATTCGAGACAGACACCATTTTTCACATGATTTTTTTTCTTTCTCCATACCATCTATCATCTAGAGGTCGCACTTGGTGCGATGGCAAGTGTCTTCGCCCATAAGCGGTAGGTCTCGGGTTCGAGACTTGGGAGCAGCCTCTCCATAAATGGGGGTAAGGCTAGCCGACATTCACCTCTCCCAGACCCTGCGTAAAGCGGGAGCCTTGTGCACTGGGTACGACCTTTATACAATCTATCATCTGTCACCACCACTCAGGTGTCGTCTCTCACATTCTTCCCCTTGTCAAGAAATATGTGATTCCATATCTCTCAGGCTGCATGGTTATTATGAAGGAGGGTTCTCTCCCCTTCTAATCTCTCTCCCTTTTTCACCCCTCTTACTTGAACGGTTATGGTTAAATCACGTCAATATCTTATATTAATTTTTTTTTATAGAGACAATAAGACAAAAAATAAAGTGTGAGAAGAAAGGAGGGAAGAAGATGAGAATAGAAGCGGAGAGAATCCTACTCCGATTATTTTGCGAGTAATTGTTCGTTCGCTTTTAGATACAAGCATGGGAATGACATGGTATTATAAGTGACAGACTGGCAAACCTTCTTGCCACATCAATTAAGATTTTGTCTTACTTTGTTTATATAGGTCACTGAAAAGAAAGATATAAGGCCATCTACAGCTAAGGGCATAGACTTTAAAAAAAAAGGACGAACCTAAGCCAACAAGGCTCACTGCTTTGCGAGGGTTAGGGGAACGTCAATCGTATGCAGCCATACTTTTGTTATGCATAGAAACTATGTTCCACAACTTGAACCCGTAACTTTTTAGTCACAAAGAAGAAACTTTTTCATTGCACCTCCCTGCTTTGCCAAGGCTATTTCTGTTGCGCCAAGGGCTATAGACTACTTTTAGCTAAAATTTGCGAAATATCCATCTCTAGTCAAAGATCACAATGAATCTGCTAAAAAGAATCGAATTTAGCCAAAGATTGGCCCTTGGCAGGCCCTTACATGTGCATCACAAGTTAAGATATAAAGATTTGGTCCTGCATCGTTGGAGATGAAAAAGTTTAACCTTAAGAATTATGTAGAACTTAATTTTTGAAGAGCTAAAATGTAACCGAGAAATATATTTAGCCTTCATAATTGAAGATGGCCTAAGAAAAACGGAAGAGGCATGAAACTCTTACTCGTCATGACTTGTTGAGTATAGCATTTGTTCAAATTCGATTGTTATTTCTCAACAACTTCATATGTTTTTATCTATTTTTGTGTCAACACATCAACAACTGCTTTTGATTTTAACAGTCTTCAAATATTTGTCAATGCTCATCATTTCCAATGGTCCACATTCAGGTAAAGTTTTCAAAGACGTATCGGCTGAGAGATCCATCCCTGATGGCAATATCACAATACGACATGTAAGTTTCTCTTCACATGACATATAATTGACACGGAACGTCACAATGAGTACTTGTATCATGAAAGTTGGTCGGTGGGGATTCCAAAACTCACATTGAAAACCGTTCACTTGTTCATTCAATCTCAATCATGATTTCATATTGGCTTTCCAAACAAAGTTACTTTTTTTTCCTACCGGAAAATATGTAAATGTAACAAACAGTTTGAGACTTCCAAAACAAAAACAAAAAGACTAAATTGCTAATTTGCCCTTGAACGATCACTTGACTTTCAATTTCCCCCCTGAACTTTTTAATTAGAAAATTAAGGATTTAAACTTTTTTTTTTTTGGCCGATTTCCCCTCTACTGTTAATTTTTCATATATTTCATCCAAATTAACGTTAACTCGTATCATATGTACACCACGTGACTCTCCTTTGTGGACAAAAGCATCACTTCGCTAGACCTTTAGACACAAAAGCTATAGAAGCACACATATTTGCATAGGTTTATATTTTCGAAATCTAAGGTTTTCAATTATTTTAAAGAATGAAGCGACCGAACTACCCTTACATGTTGTGCACATGCTTCTATTTAACAGAAATTTGGATGGAATGAATGAAAAATTAACAGCAGGAGGCAAATCGGCCAAAAAAATTAGTTTTAAGTCCTTAATTTTCCAATTAAAATGTTCATGAGGCAAATCAAAAGTTAGGTGATAGTTTAGGGGGCAAATCGGCAGTTTACTCAAACAAAAACAAACACAAAAACCAAAAACAGACCCTCAAAGACGGAACCTGAACCCAGTTGCTAGCAACAGCAGTTTCATCGGACGCAAGCACGGTCTTGTTGCAAACAGCTCCATTTCCTCAAACAGAACAAACAGAAGTATATCTGGCTGCATGATATCTATCTGTTTATGTAATGAACTCATAACATTTCTTGAGACTTTCTGACACACCGCCCTACTCTCTTCCGGAACTCCTCCCTACTTTCTCTCCATTGTTTCTGCAAGCACGCGTAATTAACATTGAACTCCAATGTCCAATCCAAAGTAGTGTCAAACAAATAATACTCAAAAGAACTGATCATGGAATCAAAACATAAAGACAATGAAAATACAACACGTACTGCAGCATCGACATTCGCAGGAGATTCATCATTAGGACTTGAAAGCATTGAGATTATACTCAAAACAATGCTCTCAACCTGCAGAAAAACAAAAAATTTGTCAGTAGATCCTCAACAATACGAACACGCTAACTACGTTCATATAATAGTATGGATGCATAAAATATTAAACAAAATGCCTGGGATGTGTGTAAACCAGAACCAAAACTAACAATTTACATTCGATAACATAGCACATCCACAACCGTCTCCAGTTAAAGACATCCGTCAGAGTCATATATAAACAAACATTTTACGAGTTCACCACAACTTTCAGTATGTACCCTATATTTAGGGCACAACTTCACCATCACTTCTCCAACAACAATAGAAGTAAAACTTGTGGTTTCCTACAGCCATTCCAAAGTCAGCGTCACAGATCTTCAACTTGCAACAAGCCCACTTTTCAAACAACCGATTCCATTGCCTTGTAAAAGACGGAGTTGGTCCCGACATCAGTGCCAACTTTTCCATAAGCACCTAAAACACTAAGTAGAGACAACTTGAAGATTAAATCACAACTCTCTTCACTTGAGCACTCCCGATTGAAACATACAGAAAGTTCAGATATGTACTGTATCATCAACTCTCAAGATTTTGTCACTATACTGCAAGCTTGTCTCGTCTCATACGGTTCCTCCTCAAGACAAAGGAACAGGAAGCAAACAAACATGAGGTTCATGGTGCTAAGCTGCTAGCACATACAATAATGACTAATGATTAGGACTTTGCCAATCGAGCGATGCACTAGTTTCCAATGCATCATGCAGGTAAAAAAAAAATGTACTGCACAATATAATAACAAACCCGAACCCAACTCAAGCAATCTTTGTCTAAACTAGAGTTGTGCTAGGGTTTAGGAACAAGCACCTCAATACTGGCTTAGGATGAGACCCACAGGGCTATTGTACAATTCAGTCCTGTGACGATCTCATTTCAATCCTTACAGTTAGCCACCACCAAGTTGCACTGCCAATTATAACTGCCATCAGATAATCAGTGTATTAATGACACACACAAACTTGATCAGTTACATATCTGTAACTCTCCAAGTTTCGACTCTTTATCCAGAAACAACATGTCATCCAAACACGCACAGCCTTCCAATATTTCATTGTTATATACTTGAAACAGAAAGGGGAAACCACACTACAAAATCCGCTAAGTAATTGATCCGGTGCTTATAACCACACAATGGTAATACAGTTGCAACTTGCAAGCCAACACTGAACACTAAAATCTTTAGGATTATGGCTACAACTAAACAAGTGAACCCATCAAATCACAGAACAATAATATAGTAAATAGACAAATAAGTACATACTGTATGGACTGGATTCCAGCGCTCAGTTGCAAGCTCGTAGCCATTTGGATCGTCACCAGGGGGATGAAGAATTGAAATACAAACCTTTCCATCGGCGTAAACTGCAAAAAACATGGAAGCTTGATCACGATGAACTAAAGGCGGAAAAGAAATATGCAAAAGTTACTTCAGAAACAATATACAGAAGACAGTCACCATTGGGGTGCCACATCTCTGAGGTAAATCTCACGACAGGAGGGTTGCACGGATAATCCTCGGGGAAACTCATGATGGCATTAAAGAAACCGCCCTCACTACAACAAATAAAGTATAATGAACCAGGTCAACTAAAGAATTCGGTTCCCCAAAAATAATCCGAAATCCTTTCTTGTCTTCGCTATCGAAACAATGCAATAATTAGCTTCTAGTAACATCTGCCGAACACTGAAAAATCAAACGACACTTAATCCAATCATGTCAAAATCAAACAAACATTTGAAACCCTTTTTCGTCTTCATTATCTAAAGAACGCATTAAATTAGCTTCTAGTAACATCTGCCGAACACCGAGAAATCAAACAACACTTAATCCCATCATGTTCAAATCAAATAAAACATCCGAACCCCTTTTTCATCTTCACTATCTAAAGAAGGTATTAATTAGCTTCTAGTAACATCCGCCGAACACCAAAAAAGCAAACAACACTTGATCCAATCATGTTCAAATCAAAAGTTTCATGCTTTAGGCCAAGCCGTAAACTAATCATCACAGTAAAAGATATGAACTTTGTAACCAATTCCATCAAATAATCAGAACCCAAAACTAAACACATGAATTCAAACAAACCCTTATAGTCGTATCAAAAGAAAAACCTGTTAAAAGAACACACACATGCACCAAAACAAAAGACATAAACTGAATTTCGATAAAAACCATGTTTCAAAGAACGGGAATGACATCGAATAACATACTAGAAAGTATCGGGTGGGCCAATAATCGTGACACTCCATTCGAAGATGTTGGCTTCGTTCACCAAACCGGCTGAGAATCCATCAACTGGGTTTTTGCAGAGATCTACATAAATATTCAGAGAAAAAATAAATAAAACAGAGTAAAATATTTAAACAAACGAGAACAGAAATATATATGGATTGAGGTTAAGGTGTAACCTTTGAGTTGCTTTTGGAGGAGGAGGCTGGCTTGGGAAGCAGGAGTCGTAGCCATGGACAACGCAGAGAGAGAGAGAGAGAGAGAGAGAGAGAGAGAGAGAGAGAGAAGATTTTGGGTTGGATTTTTATAGATAAAGGTGTGGGTTTTGTGTCATATATAGAGATTAAGAGTTTGTACTCAACTTGTTTTTCGAATCAAACCGAACGATAAATTCAACCTATCAATAAATTATAACTTAACACTTATGCCGATGCCATTCCCGCCACCCCAACTGGTAACAGTGATTTGACGGACTTTTCCTTACGTTGTACAGTACATTTACTAATTTGGCCCTCAGGTTGTTGGTCATCGTGGGAATGTAAAAGCTCGGCTTTTCCATTTGTTTCCACAACGAAGCTTTTCCATTTGTTTCCAGATGAACCTCTCCGGTTCACTCTCTCTGAACTGCGAACCACAACATCCTCCTCCGTTCGACGGCATCTCCTCCCTTCTCCTCCGTTGGGCAACATCTCCTCCGCTCCTTCTCCTGGGTATTTTTTTATGTCTATATTTCCTCAGATCCCTCTTGCCTTTACCAATTATTGACTAACGAGTTGACCATGTGTTTTCAATTTTGCAACCAAACCCAGGTCTAAAAAGAAAAGAGCTGCAAATTACGGTGGCTCAGTTATCTCCTCCCCAATGTCCGTCGTGTCAACATCACCCTTGAAGAACAGGTACATGTGGAGCCAAAAAATAATCAAGAGGCGACTTATCAATTTTTAGGTGCATATAGCAAAATTACTCTTGATATACATTGAGTTTTTCACACGCGAGCAGTGAAAAATCATCCATCAATTGAGTCAAGAGTATCCAAAACAGGTAACAAGTTCAAATTTATCTTATCCATCTTTACTTCATTTCCTCTACAAAAAAAATCATTCTATAACCTTCAAAATCTTCTATATAAATTAAATTAATTAGATTAATTAATAAATTAATTCCTAATTAATCCATTAATCACCAAAAAAATTATCATTACAGCTCAAAAAACATCCAAGGGCCGGCCACTCTCTCTTCCAAAGAGGGCCGGCCATGCTATATAACTAAGACTCCATTTTCTTTTAAAAACTAAGTCCACACTATTGCAAAATTCTAAAAACTCTTTAAATATTTTTCTCTTTCTAACTTTGGTATCAGAGGTTCTTTAGCCAAAACACCCCCCATTCATCGTGGGCGCGTGAGGTTTTTGGCCTTAACCAAATGTGTTAATTGTTTTGTATGTGCAATTTTATTCAAGAAAATTGCATCCACAGTTCTGGTTCTTGAGCTTCACCCTCGCTGGGGTAACAGGTAATTATACATAATCATCATCAAAACATATGATAAATAATTATTCTAATTGCATGCATGAACATTCGAACTTTGCAAGTACCACCCTGCTCTTCCCCTTACTCAATCTACTGTTCCTCTGCCTAGAGAGATTGGAAATTGGAAACCCCAAAGTTGAAATTTCTCGCTTCAAATTGGTATGTTCTATATTCGAATTCGTATGAAAAAGTAGTGAGTTATTTGTTGGGTTTTGTTGCTCTGAGCTTGCCGATGAGTGGTCATGTAAGCTCATTAAAACTTTTGAGTTTTGGGTTTTGCTATAATTAATTGAAGATTTAATAAGGACAATTTCTTTACAATTCTAGAGTTGCCCATTTGGGGAATTTGTGGAATTCCATTTAAACCTTAGAATATGTTTTTTTTCTCACATTTGATGATTTGGGTGTTGAGCAGCAATGCATTGATGGATACTCTATAAAAAAGGAGCGATTTTGGATGATAACAGAGGAGTTGCCACAATGCTTGAGGTCGCCAACCCCAAGATTGGAGCTGCTTCAACCTGAAAAGGTTAATTATTTTACAAAATAAGTTCCAATTTCTTGGTAGTTTGGCTTAACAGTAAATTCCAAGTGAATTTTTCAGGTGGCAAAGTAGGATCAAAATCGAGTTTCAGGAAGTAAAGTGACGGCTTTTGAGTTTTAGGAGACAAAATTGAATCCAAAGCAAATTCCAAATAACGTAGCTAAATAAGCCTTATTGAAAACTTTCACGTGTTCGCTAACATTGTATACCATATTATAACACTCATTTGGATGTGCAAATTCAAAACAATGGAGATTGGATTAATTTCTTCTCATTTAGTCATCTCAAATGAGGTGGAGGATCTTCTTTTTTTACGCGGAAATTATATTATGCTGTATCAGTTAATGGTTCAAGGAGACCTAAAATTCTTAGCACATGGAGCTCATCATAGTCCATACTAGTCCACTATGCATGTGTGACTAGTGTCCTAGGGACCTAGTCTCCTCACAGGAATAAAATGGGGAGCAGATTGTCTGCCCTCCAAAGTCTGCCCTCATGTTTGGGTGCCCTTTCCATCTCCTTCTATTTATGCGGTCACGGTTAAGTCACGTCAACATTTTATAATTTTATTACTTTTTGTCTTATTATCTCTATAAAAAAATTAATATAAAATGTTGACGTGACTTAATTGTGATCGCACAAAATAGGAGGGGATGAAAAGGACAACCAAATAGGAGGGCATACAATCTGCCTCCATAAAATGGACGGTGGTGTTTCAAAAGAGGTAATTTCTCACGCGGATCTTATACGAGTGCAATGTACAGGGTCAACAGATAATAGTCTCGTACATGATCAGTGATTTAGTTGGTCTAGTAACACTTTATTTTAAGGGTGAGTTTGGTACGATTACCGTATTATTTATCATATCAAATTGTTGGTATGGCAAATTTAGTACCATTATCATGCCAAGTTTTCTATATCGTCGATATTGATTTTGGATACCAATACCATATCAAATATCTTCGGTTTAGGACAATTACCGTACCATTACTATATATCGTTGGTTTTTCAATCGTTATACATATTCACAACACTTTTATATAAAAGATTAGGGTAAGTTACACAAAACTACTTCAACTATGGGTCGTACCATAATCTCATACCTTGTGTTTTAAACATTACAACGTCATACATCAACTTATGAATTCATTGCAATGTTAGACATCAGTTAATGATTATGTTAGATTAGCTGTTAAATGATGATTTGGCAAATGGAGGGTCCATATATTTGTTGACGTGGCAGTCAACTTGTGGTATTAAAAAATAAATCAATAGATAAATCATTTTAAAAATTAAATAAAAAGGAGTGGGCCCCACCCCTTTCAAATCACAAATCCATCGTCTTCTCTGACGCTCTCCGCCCTCACCGACTTCCCTTCTCAGTCTCCGACCCCCCCAATGTGAGGTGCAAAAGCCGCCTTGTGCTTCTTCGTTTGCTTAACCTGCTGCTACCTCGCAATCGCCTCCCTCAGCGACTTAAACAACCCCCCCCCCAAAAAGGGTGTTCACGTACGTGAATCCGCAAACCCCCAAACCTGAATCCCCAAAACCCATCTCATCCTCCAATTCCTTGAAGTGGGTATGTTTTCTGCGTATTCAAGGATCAACTGTCGCGGCATGAGGTGGGAGTTGAATGTCTCATGAGAAAACCCAACAGAAAGCAGGAAAAAAGAAGGAACATTTTCAAAGATTTCATGTGGTCGATGAAGAAAGATTGCAAATTTGGGTGAATTAAAATTAAACTCTACAATGGGCTTTTGATGGTTAAGGTTTTGCTTCCACTCCCTTTCAAATGTCAGATTTTGTGCAAGGCAGATTGGTATCTGCAGTGGAGTTTTGGGGAGGTCGGCAAGTGCGAAGGGCATTGGAGAAGACGATGGATTTTTGTGATTTGAAGGGGGCCCACTCTTATTTTTTTAAATGTTTTTATCTATTTATTTATTTGTTAATGGCACAAGTTGACTGTCATGTCAACAAATATATGGGCTCTTTATTTGTCAAATCATCACTTAACGGCTAATTTAACAGAATCACTAACGGATGTTTGACATTACAACGAATTCATAAGTTGAGGTATGACATTGCAATGTTTAAAACACGAGGTACGAGATTGTGGTACGACCCATAATTGAGGTAGTTTTGCGTAATTTATCCAAAAGTTTACGAAACACTTTGATACTGCTTTTTGGACACAAAGCACTTTTGCAAATCCAATTTATCAAACACCTAACTGTTTTATTTCACAATTAATTATTCCACAGCACAACATAAGTAAATTTTTTTTTTAAGAAAAACTAATGAAAATGGCTTAAAAACTTTGAGTTTTAACAATAAGGACAAAATAAATAGTAAAGTGAATAGTATCAGGTTTAACTTTTTAGTGTAAAAATATGATTTTTCATTAAAGTAAACAGTATCGCGGGTTTTTTTGTTAAAACTTCCTTCTTCTTTTTTATGTACAACAATACCATCCTAGTCCACTAAGCCAATTGCCAAAGGATGTGTGGCAGAGTAGCAACGTGGATGATTGAGTGCGTCAAAAGAGAAACTTACACATTACTTTGTAACATAAAAACATAATGTCATGATTACAGTACACGTTATCTAAGTCAGTTACATGTAATCATGTAAATAATTAGTCGGCACTCGTTAGGGTCCACATAAAAGACCGAAGTGTGGAGCACCCGAATTGTGCTCAACCTTGTTCTTTTAGGAAGAGGATCCTCTCCTGAGCTCAGGATAGGGATTCTCCTGACTAGTATATCTTAACCGTTCAAATTTAATCAAACGACTCTAAACAGAAGGATCATTTAAAAGTTATAATAATTATAATCGTTGGATTAAATTTGAACGGTCAAAATAAGCTGTTTAAGAGAATTCCCATCCTAAGCTCAGGAGAGGATCCTCTTCCGTTCCTTTCTGGTTTAATAATCACAAGCATAACAGGAATAGCCTATGAAATAAAGCTACATCGGAATCTAATCATGAAGTCAACGAAGGCATGAAACATCATTTCTCTTGAGAAAAATCTTGTCCCTTGTGGAAAATTCCCAAATTAATTCTCTTGCAAATACTATTCTACTTCATGTAACAACTGTCTCTGATTTGGAATATAAATCGAGCAGCGTTTTCTTGTCGGACTTATGTTTTTAGAGACTTGATGGTATTGCCATGTTTCCTAATCGTAAATCTGAACCTCAAAATCAGAAGATTTCTACCTAATCAATGATTCAAATTCACAGTCTAACAAAAGAACGTTTTTCGGAAAATCAATAATTATTAGTGTCAATGTTGCACAGTGGATGAGAAGTCAACATACAATGACAAGCTGCTCATTAACTCTAAAGATGTGGCATTGGATTCCCAGACATGTTTTGGAGGGCATTCCATAATTTTCAAACCAAGTTATGATTAACGAACAAGTAAACCCAATTATAAATCTAATCATGCATGCTTACGAGACCCCCACACACTCCAAATCCTCCCATGCAAAAAACCAGTCGCCTTCCAAAGATGAAGAGAGAACAAGCTGCTGTGTACCTTGTTTTTGCCCTACTCATGCTTAGAGCTCAAGATGCAGATGCAGAGCTAGGCAAGTCCTCAACTGGTAACTAAAACATTGTTTTGTAATCCGATACGCTGATTCTGAATCGAAAAACCGGATTAATGCATGCTCATGGTCTGTTTCCTTTCAATGCTTTCTGCAGGGCTTGATCTCGAAACTTCTCCGGCAAGGCAGAGTTTGGTGGCCACAAGATTCATGTTAGCAACTTGGGTAAGCCCTGGTACTGCTGCTTCTCTTTTCTTGTCGTTTAAATTTTGTTCTGCCAAATGTGATCGTTGTTCGTTTAGTGATGAAAGAACTTTCTTGTTTCTGTGATAACAGCTCAAATCCAGAAAGCTGGTCAAACCTCAAGTTGTTCACAAACATCCGTCAGGGCCAAACCCTATCGGAAATCAGAAACCGCCACCCAGACACGGTTGAGATGTTGGCGGAGCACGCAGGCGAGCTCTAATTAGCAAGCTGCAGAAGATGCAGTTTTGAGATTAGATCAGTTATCAGTTTGATGAATTTTCCGGATCCGAGTTTAATGTTCATGTTTCCTAATTTGCTGCTGAATCTGGTTTCAGAGCAGCCATAAAGAAGCAACAATGACAGAATTCCGGTGTTTTATCTTTAAATCGAATCCAACCTGCTCGTAAAATCTGATCGAAAAACCGAACGAGTATTTATCAAATATAGCAAAAAATTAATTCTTAATTTCAAAAATGTCACTTTATATAAAATCTTTCAACTATATCAAAAATTTCATTTAAATGGACACAAATATTCTCAAATTTAACAATTAAATAAATTAAATTCTTTTTAGCTACTATCATCTCAAGCTCCGGTCCGATTTCACCTTCGCTTCTGCACTCCACCACCACAACCATATTCCCTTCGACCCCCTCATCACCAACATTGAGGGCCGCCGCAGTTACTGCAAGTGGGAGAAGCAAAATTTCAATCATGCTTTCAACACCTTTTTTCTTACTAATATCATTTTTAGTTTTAAATATAATAATAGTTTTTAAAGTTAATCCACATGTTGATATATTATTGTATTTGTGAGATCCACGTGGTGCCACATCATCACACTAACAAGGCAATTGACAGATTTTTCACAAAAAACCTAAAATGATCACAATGGGCAAATTCAAAGAAAGACAAATGATTAACGATAAACAAATTCAAGAACACTACTATTGATTATCATTAATTGTTAAGGACCAGATTAAGAAGTTACGTCAATATCACCAATCATTTTGGTTAAAAAGCCTTTAATTTATTTGATTGTTAAATTTGAGAGTATTTGTGTCTATTTAGATGAAATTTTGGATATTTTTGAAATATTTTATAAAAAAGTAACATTTTTAAAATTCAGGATTAATTTTTTACTATATTTGATAAATACTCAAACCAAACTCGGAGCGAAAACAATAAAATTTCATGCAGAAGAAAATAGGTTACGTAAGTTATTTCCTTTATACAAAGAACCTTCAATCCGAAACGTAACATGGGAATGCAAACTTTATAATAACGTCGAACTCCCGAAACCGCAATGCACGGCGATTTTTAGTGCAGAGCCAGAACGAGCAAAAGGCATACGGCCAAATAAAGCATAAGATACACAGCAGTCTTGACATACATCTATAAATCAACATATCAATCTGATAAATTGTATGAAAAGAAAAGAAGAAGGAAGGCAGCTATCTTTTTTTCTTAGGGT